ACATAGTTGATAACCCAGTTCTGTTTTACACACACTGTATACCAGCTCATCTGCAGTTGCCGTGACACAAACATAGACACAACCAACGGTCAATTATCACATTCCAAAGCGGTTGGTGAAGTCGATGACGCAGCCCACGCCAAGGCGGTCAGGCCATCATACGTAATCCGGGGTCATCAACAGCAAAACACATCATGACAATCAAACACAATTGTTCCCGCTTCTTCTTCCAAACCGTTGTTACGTAACTGAAATGCAAAACTGTTGGCAATGAGTAAGGCGTTGCTAATCCAATTACATAATCCCGTTCTGTGGGCCCAAAAGTTATTAATTGAGAAGTAAAGTCAAAGATATTTGCCCAATGTCTCACTTTTCACGCACGTAAACCGCGTAGGTAATACGATGTGTAAAATTATCTGTTGCGAACAAAGAACAGTAAATTAAACAATTGAGTCCCGGAATTATAGCCGTTCTAAATCAAATGTAAATTTTGACTTTATGGTTAAATAGTCTAGCGAACCGCCTGGTGTCACATGTAGCTTCAGCGCAGCAGCGCGCCTTCCAACCAGCTCAGCGGACAAACCGATAGTNAGTCGCAACTAGTATTATGAACCTCAAAATCACACACTTTTTAACCCTTGTCAAACACGGTAGCCTGTTGAAACATGTATACCCTCTGAATGAACCTTCCACGCGGAAACCGAAGCTGCTGCATAAGCCAATCAAATGACTGCGTCGCCCATTCAAAGCAAGCAAATTGGGTGGGTGCGACCAACCTTGGAACGTATCCCTTAACGCTGGTGGAAGGTAACAACCATTTCAGTTATACCCCGGATAATATGGAACTATGTGCTGCGGACACGGATGTCAAACTAAGCTGATAAATGTGTTCTGTCAGCACACAAATTATCCATGGAATTGTGTAAAAAGTTGGTCCACTAAGGACGTATTTAACAATAAGCAAACGAACCACTTGGAAAAACGCCCATGGTACCGCGTTATAAATGACTGAGTCATTAAGCAATCCAGCTGTTTCTCAGTTTGCTAAATTAAAATGACACTGAAAGTGCGTTTAGTTAATTATTCCCTTTTATTTTGGATACGGAACAATTAAGTAAATATTTACAAAGAGTGGTATCATCATTTTGCTCAAATTCGATGAAAATTCACATTTTACCGAAATTACAGGTTACTGTTCATTGCATTATGCTCTAGACGTAGTGATCTGTTTATTACCCCAGGGGTAAGGAGAATTCGCGCAGAAAACTCGACGAACTCATTTCATATGTTCTATGTGCAACGAAAATGCACGTATGGGAAGGTGACAGAGACTAGAGCCAGGAAAGAGGATTTAGAAAAGCATTATAAGTGCCCGGTCTTTCAGAATGAGAAACAAACAGAGCGTTGTTTAAAACAAGCTCCATTAAGGACGTACTACACTGATCGTCCAATTCAAGTGTCCCCTTATCCAGCTAACATGTTCCATTTTTAAGGTGTCCTGGAATAATTTGACTGTCCTAGTAGTACCAAAACCCCTTAAATTGAGAAAGGGACATCTGATATTGAAAAGTAACTCTCCACAGCACAAGATAAACGATTTCCGAATCCAATATGGCACAACTAAAACTCTTCATAGTTATATTCCCCTTTATTTACCTTTCCAATACACGTAAGGTAGCAAGTATATGTTAAGGACTGAGAGACCATTGCCATTGTGGGGTTGATCTAAAAACGCTCTCGGAGCTTCTCCATAGCGCCACTTTCTGCCATTTACTTCACTTTCCTGTCGGTGTCCACCCAAAAGCCGTCCTTTTGAATGACGCGTTTGTCAAGATTTCATGAGGACCTTTTAATTAGCTTGGTCTAGCCATACTAGTAGGACTGTCTACGTGGTCCTGGTCAATGAGCATGTTCATTGTCCCCCTCTCTTTCTCTTTTCTTGAGTCGATCCGACGAAGACTACAGATCTTTTACTCTCGCAATGATTTCACTTAGTGTAGTGTTTGATATCCCAAAGTTTGTTTGTAACTGCTCTAATCGAATCTTCACATATCAAAGGATATGAAGGAACAATTGAATTTCATAAGTCATCTAGTGACACTTGTCCTTGATCATATTGAATCTATAATTGGAACTGGATGCTTGAAATTTTCCGGTCATTGTGTATTAAACTACAATACAAAGTCGGTTAATAAGTCAGTTGTGTAAGTTTTAACCAGGATCGAATTACTCAACTTCCTGTGCAAAACGGATTCCATGCGATTACCCCAATGAATCGCACTGGAAAATATAGTGGAAGTTGTCATGTGGTTTACAGTGTGACAATACATTGCACGCAACGCAGCAATGCATCACTTACCTGATTTTTATTCAGTTCACAATTTTTATATTCCGATTCACCTTCGCGTTGAAATGTGACAATGACGAACCCGACGAAGATGTTGATCATGAAAAACGGGATAACGATGATGAAGGTGATGTAGAATAAAGCAACCACTGGTCGATAGTTTGTGATCGGTCCACGATCCTCCGCGTTCGAATCGATGGAGATGTACAAAAGGCTATGCACAGGGAGAACATAGGTTAATGCAATCAAGGAATCGATTGCTCTGAACTGATTTGTGGTATGTGTTAGAGGAAGTGCTTCCTTAATAGATGAATTTAACCTCTGTAAACAAACCCAACCAGGAAAAAAAACGAAGTAACTTCATCATCAAGACTTCATCTTCTTCCCCTAGACAACGAATGAACTACTATATTTCGATTCCGTTTCATTTCACTGCTTTAATATTCAATAATAAGTTAGATTAAGACATGAGGATACAGGTTCATAGGCGAACAACAGCTTTCCATTGATTCATCTGCTAGACTGTACCGATCATACATAGGAAGTGACATGTTAAAACGGGATAGACATTCAGTCGAATAATACTTACCGATTAAATTAATTCACATAATCCNGGAACACATTCTGGAAGTATTCGGTACACTGCGTGTGATATTCACCGATTTTGAGTGATGCTCACTAAAGATTATCGGGCTTGTCCGGAAATTAATCGTATAACTAGAGTGATCTTTCAATAAATCAATTCAGTGTCTGTCAGTCGCCCAGATCGATTCTAAACAGTTCGCACAGCCTGGTACCAGTTACTGCGACCGCAAAAAACTAAAACCAAATTCGTTAAACCATATGAGCACTCTGGTCAATCCCAATGTAGATAATAATATGAAATAGGGATAAAATATCTGATCTGATCACTCCTTCCTCCCTTTCCTCTCCCTCTACAACAGACCATACACATAAGTTTCCAATAAAACTCGGATGATATGTAATGGGATCTGGTAACAAGCTCACATGAGCGAACTGGTCTCGTTACTTGAATGTTGCGACAAATCATAAGCAGACATTTCTGATTAGTAATTATCAATTGGTTTTCAAAATATTTTTCATCGCATAATGAGCAAAGAAAACACTTTGACAGTCATGATAAACAATGCCATATTCCTTTCTGTTTGATTTGCGCTTGCGAGAGTCGAAGTTGGTCGGCCGAGGAGGCATACTTACGCGGGCCATCCTTCAAATGTGGACACAGTGAACAGAGTCAGTAAGGCGTGCGGTACATCGTCAAAATTGAAGTCGTTATTCACCCACTGACGTTCCCGCAGGATTGGTTTGTCTAGACTCATATCTTCGTACTCGATGAACTGACCCCTGAAACAGAATCAGTGGATGGGGTTGGTACAGTTTATAAACCTTCAATGATTGATTTCTTTCGCGTGATGATTACGTTTTTGTTTCCAAATCAAACATCTCGCACATGATTTGACGAAAACAAATGAACTGGCAACAAAAAACCTGAACCATCTGATTTCGTGATTTACTATCAGTTTGCGTCCTTTTCCCAATGAAAATCATGCTGCAGTGATTAGATTTTGCATTCAGTTACCATGATAACACTCGTTCGATAGACCCAATATCTACTGGAAAATTATTTCTGTTGCGGTTTCGCGTTTAGGAACAGTACACAATTTGTGCGTAGGCGACAGCTAAAAGATTGTCCTTTTCAAAAAATGTATGAACAACTGTCAAGTTCAGTTATTGGTACTGACCATGTTCTCGCTAAAATGCCATTGTTCTACAAGCGAGGCTAAGTTTTTATTGTCTAAATGGAGTATGACAACGGGTATTGGACGTGTAAATATCTTTAAACAAAAGTCACATGGCAGACTATTTAGTGATATCTGACAAAAATAATCAATTATGTTTGCCTCGGATAACCAATAGAAGCGACTTACTGCGAAAATCATTAAAATAAATAAATTTTCCTATCGCGCAATTGCACTTCCAGGAACTATCTTTCGCTTACACACCCCGTTTGAAAACAAAGACACGGAAAGTTGCCGCATCTGATTTTGAATCCAAAAAATATCAATGCTGTTCGTTTCGGTTCCCTATCGATGAGACAGGAGCTAAATTTCAGCCCTGTTCTTTTTCCGCAATACCAACTATTATTGCGTGGTAAGCCAAAAATTGTTGAGAAAACTTAACAGGATCAACTCAACGGAATTCCGACATATTTCATGAACTTATTGACAATTGAATCCAGCCTAAGAAAAACCATCAGATGGGTGCCATTGAAATATATTCCGGTTACAAGCTAATTGGGCGAATATAAATCCCAGATTATTTCAAGCAACTTGCCGCACGGTATACAAAAACGCTATCTGTCAACGAAACTCGGGTTCACGCAGGAAAAGTTTCCAACAGCAGCCCAAATTCTAACTGGTTAAGACATACTTACACTTCTGTTACTTTTTTCATTCCACTGTGATGTTTTTACACAAAAAGATTCTTATTGAAAATTAAATGATTGTTGCGTGAAAATGTACACGTGACAACCTTATCACAGAACATCAGAACTAAAATATGTTACGGGTGCATCGAAAATTTGATGCTTCGTGTTCTATATTCATTGGTTTTGTAACCATAGAAAAAGATTATTTCCATTTCTCGGTTACGTTTGTCCACTGACCAAAGGAAGTGTACATCACTTCTGTGATGGAGTTAAAGCTGATCACTTATATACTGATATTCACAAAGCCTTTAAATTTCCATTGACCGATGGACAACATTCTCGGATGTCGATGCGTTACGGAAAGCCTCTTCATTTTACACCGGGTCGGCTTATTCGCGTAGACGTTTACCCATATCCATGAGTCGTTTCTTCAAGACCTATTCATCCCTTGCATTGCAGTCCACATGGGCTGTTGAACGAGAATGATCAGATCATGTACACGCGTGAGTA